AGCAGAAAGTAGCAGAACTATAGCTGAAGTAGCAGAAGAATAGCAGAAAGTAGCAGAAATATAGCTGAATTATCATAAAAAGCTAAAAGCTAAAGGCTAAAATAGCTGAATATTGCAGAAAGCAACTCTAAAAAGCATAAATAACTCAAATTAGCAGAAAGAAGCACAAAAAAGCAAAAAGAAGCAGAACTATAGCTGAAATAGCATAAAAAGCTAAAAGCTAAAGGCTAAAATAGCTGAATATAGCAGAAAGCAAATGTAAGAATCATAAATATATTTATGTTTGTGGTTGTAATGTGACAAAATATGGAAAAGTTCAAGGGGTATGAATACTTTTGCAAACCACTGTAAATCTGAAAAAAGCAGAAGAAAAGCAAAAAGAAGCAGAACTATAGCTGAAATAGCAGAAAACAGCTAAAGTTAGCAAAAAAAGTAGCTAATATTTGCACAAGAGAGTAAAATGGAGCATAACCAGAACAAATTGTGTAAGGATTTATAAAGATTTAGAAAYTATTTGAAGGATTTTAAGGTTTTTGAAAATAGCCCCGTTCAAATTCAATGAGAAAAAAGTGGTTAAAARGTTGRAATAGCTAAAAAAGTATAAATAGCTGAAATACCAGAACTCATAACCGGCATTGCATGAAATAGCTGAATGTTTTGATAAATGAATGGTTGAAGTAGCACAAAAATTGTGGAACGAGAAAGGTGCTGAAAAACGTACAGAAGAAAAAATGACCTCAGTAGTGTGAATGCCATCAGACATAAACACAATAAATAAAGCTAGTATTTAGACGCCCAGGGTTCCACTGAAGATGGAAGAAAAAAATCATCTCAAAGTCTCTTTTAGACATTTACATAATGAAATGTGGTTAGCTCTAATATACAGTATAACCTATGTGCGTTAGTCATAATTTGTATAAGTTGGCATGAATTGTCTAAAAGGCTGTAGTGTGACAGGACCACTGAGTTGTTTGTTCAAACACAGACTGGTAAAAGTTTGTGTTTCTTCTTGTTGGTGTGTAATTTAAAAAAAGAGCTCCAGCCCAGAAAGAGACAGTGAGTATTTGTTATTGGACTGCATTCACAGAACAGTTGTCCTTGAAACAGTTAAATCAATATTCACTGACTTGGAGCCATGCCACTGACTCCCAGCCAGCTGACACCATTAGTTCACTTTCCATTAGCTGTTTTTTAGTCTGAAAATGAAGTCAGTCTCAAATAGTTTATTTTTTTTCAGGAGCTCTTTCTAAATCCTTCTAAAACAACTGGGATGAAAGTGTTTCCATGGCGTCATGTCTGTTTTGCTGTTGCACATTTCTCAGCTCACCTTATGCATTCATCAGCTGTTTAAACCCATTCTGCCACGAATTAAAACCCAATTATTACTGAGGATTTATTGACTGTGTATTCTGATTTGATGAGGGCCTAGCATTGTTAGCACTGTCACAGTGACTTGACCGAGGAACTATTTACGTCTCTAAATAATTCAGTTTATTCCTACCGAATTAAAAATAGATTTTTTTACTATATTGCACACACAGTTCACATTAGTAACCTTTACTGCAAATGTTACCAGAGATTAGAAGAAGGTTGTTTTTGTCCTTCAAACCAGGACAAGATAAACAAAGTCACCTAAAGTCAGAGAAGTTTCACTGATAATAGTTGTGAAACTAAAAACGAGGACTGACGACTGTTAAAAGCTCCTGCTTTCTGTTAACCTTCTATAAAAGATGGATGTTTGTACGAGCACATGAATTAAACTCATAATCATTCACAGTGTCCTGATGTTTCTCAGTAATCCAGGTAGAAAAAATCAAAAATCAGTAGGTCCTCTGGATGGTTCTTCTCTAATGAAACGCTTCGTCTCTCCTCCAAGAGACTTCTTCAGTCTGATCAGTTTCAGGTGAACTCAGCCTKATAAGCTCCGCCTCCACATGGACAAACAGGTTAGTCATATGCAAAAGAGGACCATCAACTAACAATAGGCTTGATTAGCTCTATTGTTCACAGAGGGTCATGTGCCCCATCACCTGACTTACTAGTTTGGACGCTTCGGCTGTGGTTATTTGGTGTTTTGTTATGTGAATGTAGTGAGTGCAAGCGGGGCTCGACGTCCCCTTGTTTTTGTCTCTTTCCCTATTTGTGTTGTGCCCCCTGTGAGCAAATGGCGTGAATCAGGGCCCCAATGACACCCAACACAAATAGGGAAAGAGACAAAAACAAGGGGTCGTTGAACCCCGCTTGCATTCACTACATACACATAAAACACCAAATAACCACAGCCGAAGCATCCAAACCAATAAGTCAGGTGATGAGACGCATGACCCTCTATGAACAATAGAGCTAATCAAGCATATTGTTAGTCGATGGTCCTCTTTTGCATGTGACTAACCTGTTTGTCCACCATGTGGAGGCGGAGCTTATAAGGCTGAGTTCACCTGAAACTCATCAGACTGAAGAAGTCTCTTGGAGGAGAGACGAAACGTTTCACTAAAGAAGAACCCATCCAGATCAATCATAGTATTTTATTCTCAGTATTTMTTTTCCGTAGCATGAGTGACGTACAATCAGCAAACGTTTCAGTTTCTCCTGGTCCCAGCCCTGAAGGATACCACCTCTGGTTCTCTGCAGGTGACTCAGCCCCCACAAGCCGAGCAGCAGGTCCAGCTGTTGGTGGGCTTCGATGAGAAGGCCTACCTGGCAGCTAAACAGCTCAAACCAGGAGATGACCCGTACAAAGAGCACGCCTTTAATCTGCAGGAGAGCGACCATCTTGGCGGCGAGCGAGCCATCCGAGACACGAGACACTACAGGTGAGCAGTGTTTATACCTCAGCTCCCACAGAGGACAAAAGAGTTGTTTCTTTGTGAGCTGCAGAAAGATGTAGAGTTGTGTAGGAAAGACTCACAGTTAAAACAGTACTTGGGTGGCTCGTTGGCACAGTGGTTAGATTCCTCCAAGACGGCCAAGGACTGCACACTTTGTTGAAAATGTATCGAGATCACATTATTATTGAGTGATGAAATATTAATAGCAAGTTGTTCTAGTTTCGTGTCACACCAATGCCTAGTTTGAACCATAACTGATGAGTCAGCATTTTCTCTTTGTACTTGCACAGGTTTTCTCCAAGTTTGTTCATTTTGAGACAGATTTGTTTTACCTGTCAGGCATGTTTTAGCTGAATCAGGCAGCAGTGTCATGGATCCTACAACTCCACATGGGAAAACCGATGCCTTTCAAGAAACAAGAACATGGAATTGTTTATTTTACTTACAAATTTTTTTCTCACTGCTTTTATTTAGCCTCACACTAGCAGGGATGTGATGGGATGTTTAGGTGCTACATGAGCTTTATTGTTGCAGTGGACATCACTGGCCAGACACTGATGATGTGAGTTAAAGTCATGTCTGATGACGCTGTCAAGAACATCTGCTGAAATGTGAACTTTGCAGCAGCGTTTTGCAGACGTTGAAGGATGCAGCCTTCTGAGGAAGTACAGTCAGTCCTGTCCTCTCCTGCAAAGAGCTCAGTGTTGGTGGTCCAATCCAATTTAACATCCCACTGTCCTCCCATGTATTTGTAGGTGTGTACACCAGGGCTGTACAATAATCTATATTGAAAATTTATTATCACAATAACAGCCTGTGCAATATACACATCCCAAAAAACTGCATAAACTGCAATAAATGGTTTGGCTCCAATGTTTGCATTCATGCATTTTGTCAATCACACAGAAGCTTGAAGTATTTCACTAATCAAATGGAGCCCTTCATGTATTTGGTCAATTCGATGGATCTCTTCAATTCATGCTGGAATCGCAATGTTTTTTTTTTTTTTGCTGTAAACCCAGAACAGAAAGACAACAACACTAGATACTTCTGTATTTGTTTATTTATCACAAGTCATATCGCTATCGCAGTATTAAACACCGTTATCACACATGGCAGGTTTTTCTAACAGTGTGCAGCTCTAGTATACAGACTAGTATACAGACTCCACACAGACACCTCTGATGTTACAGCTTGGAGTGCAGGTTAAAGAGTAACTTACCCCAAAATTAACTTTTTTTTAGCTGATAAACTATCTAGAATGTGTCTAAAATGGTATATAGTACTGTTTCTGAGCTAATTTTGATGTTTTTGTGCGTATTTGTTCAAATCTGTAATATTTGGTCTAAAAACGTGTTTTTGCTGCTCATATGGGTAGAGCAGTGGTACTGCAGGCTAATTTACATATTGGTTAACGGCTCTCCATGGTGATGTGTCTTCACGGTTTTGTCACAGCGGCTGTG